ATTTAAATTATAAGAGTATTAGTCCTATTAATAGTACCTGTTATTATTATTAATGATTATTATTAATAATACTATTATATGATATTCATTGTTGAAGTTGATGTACATGGATACACGAAAATATTCGAACAGAAAAATTAATACGTTTCATGTTTCTTCATCTGAAGTCGACGTTTCACACGAAACTATAGATTTCTAATATTATGTGATAAATCTTGAAATTTTAATACTATTATTACTATTAATAGTACCGGTTATTATTATGAATGATTGTTATTAATAATACTATTATTAAAATTATGATACTTATAGTTGACCTAGCCTAACCATAACATAACCTAAAAGTGTATGTCTATAAGATTAAATACACTGTTATCCATTTCTCTAAAATTTGGAATACCATATCCAAGAACATGCGAATAAAATTTTGTTCCCCCATGGAAATAGTACCTCGCACACATGAAAAATGGAGTCCAATGATTTTAACAAGATCCACGTTTTTCGTGGAATATTTGAATATAAAACGCGTGTTAACCTAACCTAACACAAATGGGAAAACACGGCGGAGTTTTTACACTGTCTCTTTTAAAAATACCTTATGGAAGTTTGCAATTTCGCTAGAAATACAGCTCTATCGAGAGTACGAGAAGCGAACTACCCACACGTCTTTTTGTAGCAAAATCTTAAAAGTCATGAGCTAAATGTTAAAGTAACATTTGCGTATGTAGCATGTAATTTAAAAATTATGTCGAGTATAACCTGAGTTCACTCACTATAAAAAATTCTTTTAATAGTATAATCTTAAATTTTATTCATAGTTATTGTACATAAAGATGGTTATTACTAAATTATTTTGTCGGTAAACTTTATCGTTAAATTTCATTTTGTAGTTCTATCTTTGTTTCTATATTCGCGCACATAAAAGAAGCAATTCGATCTTAATTTCTGTATCATAAATTTTTATACCTCCACATTAAAACCCATTTCGTTAATATAGGTCATTCCATAGTGCGTTCCCGGTTGAATCTGCGTTGAGATGATCTCGCAATGCGAGTAACATTGAAATCGTTTTGTGAGCGATTAAGTTCGCGACCCGTGGGATTTTCATGAAGATTACGCGGAATTACACGCGCAAATTGAATTGCAAGGAGGATCAGTTGATTCAACTAGTAAGATAATTCATTTTCAAAACGAAATTTTACGTTTGGTGTGGTTTCCCTTGGGAAATCAAATTTCGTCGTATGTCTAATTTGTACAAACATTTTTTATGTTAAATTATACACTTACATTACTTTTATGGTATTCAAACATGTAGGAATACGTTTGAAAATTGTTCTCTCAATTTTTAGTTTTTTTTGCTTGCAAATTTTTTAATTTGGTGGTTTCAAATTTGCAGGATTGGGAATTTAAAATTTACACATTTGGGATTTTTAAATTTATACATTTGGGAATTTGAAATTTACACATTTGGAAGTTTGTAATTCACAAATTTGAGAGTTTTAAATTTACACATTTGGGAATTTAAAATTTACATATTTGCAAACTTGGAATTTACAAATTTGGGATTTTTAAATTTATACATTTGGGAATTTAAAATTTACACATTTGGGAGTTTCAAATATAAAAACGTAAAAGTGTAAAATTAAAAAATTCTCTAACTTACAAATTTACAAATCTGAAAGCTTAAAACCTTGAAAACTTCAAAAGTTAAACAATTTAGAAATTTTTAAATTTCAATATCGCAAATGGAAATTTAGAAACATACAAACTTCAAATATCGACAATTGAAAAATACAAAAATTGCCGGAAACGTAAAAATGGGGAAGTTTTTCCGTGTTGCGAAATTTGGTAATTTAAATACAGTGCACATCGTTAGAAGGACACACGCGAAACGGCAGGGTACTGTCGATATTTTCAATAATATTGATTTTTGCCCGAGGTGCTACAAACTTTAACGGTGGTTTTGATATTGCATCTGTTGCGGATTTATGAATACATATTGAATTCGATGTTCTCTAATATTTATCTTAAACGATCATAAAAAATCTGCACTCTGAATTAGTTTTCATTTTAACAAACAGTAACAGATACCTATCTAAAATTCCATGTTCCAATATTTGCAAACGATAGATTTATCTAAAGTTGCACTCCTCGAAAGGGTCATTCCTCGATGAAAATCGGTGAACGCCAGTTTTTGTTCGCAAAAGGTTCTTTTCTCACGGGGCAAAAAAACGCACCTGCAAAAACAAACACCAATCGATTTTCGCGTGGAAACAAGGCAAATAAACGAGAGCAAACGTGCCGTGTATGTGAATACATCGATCGCACCTAATGCAAATGCCACGAATCGATATTCGTAGAAACCGTACGGAAATACGTTCGCTGCGAGAGATTCGGGAAATAAAGCAGCTTCGACGGCGCATTTCTTTTTTCCTTCCCGATTTTAATGCTTCGATTCTTGTGGGAGTAGTTCGGGAACGGTGTTACCAATTTCATGGATGGATCGGTTTAATCGGGGCTCGATTGAATAGCGGGATTATAGCGCGACGGGAAAACGAAAATATTAATCAAACTCTCCTGTAATTATTTTGATCTCTCTAATGAACCTGCCTTCGGGCGAGAATACCGGAAAATTTTTCCTCAAAATTTGTATTGTGAAAAAGATTCGTTAATGAAAATATTATTTTGCGTCATACATGAAGCAATAAATGAAGTAAAGAAGTATCATAAATAATTGAAGTAATAAACGAAGTAAAGAAGTATCGTAATTTTGAAACACATTTTGGTAACAAACTGTACAAAGTGTTTCAAAAATTTGCTGTAAATTATGTGTTTAAAAAAAGACAGTTACGAGTAAGTTTTAATGTACTAATCGGTCGATATGAAGTTTGTGTACTACAGTTATAGTCATATTAATAGAATATAGATTTTTTAAAAATTACAGAGAAATTGTACCTTACGTATAATCAACTTAACCACAAATGATTAACACTCGCAAGCGTTATATCGAATTACCAGAGGTGCTTGAGAGACGGTGATGGCAATTAAATACTTTGTATACAGCATAAAATAAATAAAGTTTAAGAAATGTCCCATAAATAAACGACATTACGAGTGCTGAAAATGGAAAACTTTTAGCTCCTCATTTTATCAGAAATTCCGAAGGTGTTGAACATAAAAATTGGTACTGTTGGATTTAATGAAATGCTATTTTTAGAAAATCTATATATAGAGTGGGTAAATGTTACCACGGAACAATGTAAGGAATGTAAATGAAGTAAAAATAAATGTATTTATAGGTGTATTTAGTCGGTCTGCAAGATTGTTTCCCTGCCTTGTTCGATTTCATCGAATTTCATGATCCTCGATGGTAGCAGGCTCTGTCATGTTACCGCGAAATGCTATTAAGCTACCGTTATCTCTGTAATAACCTGCCATTGCCGGCTTATAATGGCGAGCATCAGAAGCGAGCATTATCGCGTACCGCGATTTGATGCGCAGGCTAAATGTGGATTGCGAATTAGCGGTCTGTGCTACCACGTGCTCCTCCTTGATTTCCTTGATCCTGCCTTGATCTCGACTCATCGGCTCCTGCTTAGCACGTTGTAATTGTATTTCAAGGAAATTGCTTCGACTACAACAGACGTATCCTCGAAAAGCTACTTCTGATACATTGAACGCGAGATTCGTTATGGCAGCGAGAACATCACTAATACCAGTCAAAATCACTGGTTTCAGGTTTCGCTGTTTATATTACAATTTTGTTGCTTTTGATATCTGTTATTTTCTGGAGATGGAGTTATATGTTATTTGATGCTTATTTTATTCATTTCTAATTTAAAAATAAACATGCATGCGACGATGGTCTGGTATTGTACACCATGTGATTTAATTTTTATTCAAATTGTTAGATTTGTTGTACATGAAATTGTTTCATGTGAAAAGAACTGAATGACTCACTATTGCTGAATTTAAAAGTAGTTCTAGTATTATAAACCATTTGATTTAATTTTTATTCAAATTGTTAGATTTGTTATACATGAAATTGTTTCATGTGAAAAGAACTGAATGACTCACTATTGCTGAATTTAAAAGTAGTTCTAGTATCATAGACCATTTGATTTAATTTGTATTCAAATTGTTTGATTTATTATTCATGAAATTACTTCATGTCAAAAGAGCTAAATAGCTCTCTATTGTAACAGCTTCAATTATGTACAGACAAATACAAATTTCAATAATTGCAAACTAATTTTGGTAGTAAAGTATTCTAAGTACTCAGTGATATTTGTCTTCGATTATAGCCTTGTGATTCCTGTATTAATTGTTTGTTTGTAATGGACTGTACTTGGAGGCCACGTGTTACATTATACCGACAAATCGATACATTCCTAATGTAATTCCAATCCGTCGTACATCAGTCTCTATGTTGATTTAGCTCAATAAGCAGATAGCCCATCATCCCACAAAATACTGACGGTCGTCAGCAACCGTACTCCGATGAGATGACATATCAATCTGATTAATCCAAAGCAAAGCTTTGACGCTCACAGAAACTGGAGGCTTTGAGCGAAGATCAGCTTTTCTTTCTGCTCGATCTGAAAACGTAATCGAATAGAAATTTGTGCCATAAGTGTATGATCTTTCGTTATGACCTACTTTACCAAAATTAATATACCTCTTCCTTGAAATTATATCTGAGTTCTAAAAACTATTTTCATTTACAATAATACAAAAATTACTACTTAGTAATGTTATTACTAAGAGAAGGAAATAGAAGTCTCTGCAAGCTAGAAGAACCTTCACAGAGATAAATCCAAACCTGATTAATACAGCAGTGTCTATATTTGCGCAGTACAGCAGACAAATTGATTATGAAATTGTACAACAAATTTTTTGCATTTCGACATAATGTTAAGACGTTCTACCTCTGACTACCGTATTATTCAACGTGTTAAATTATTAGTATCCATCATAGGTGTGTTGCAATTTTGTTTCAGCGACGTATCAGTGTCGTCTAATGTTCGAGAGTGGCTGCGTTCGCCAGCTTTTGACGCACGACAGTGGGAAGACGAAGAACTACTGCTGATGTTGCAGACGATGTTCATCGAGCTGGACCTACCTCAAAAGTTTAACATTCCTTTACCGATCTTGAGGAACTTCCTCTATGAAGTTTATAACAATTATAACGAAGTGCCGTTTCACAACTTCAGGCACTGCTTCTGCGTGGCGCAAATGGCAAGTATCTTGGCAAAGGAATTTTTATTTGGAAAATTTTTCCACATAAAATTTGGAATTCAAAACTGTAATCGTTGCTGCGAGATGGACATTAAGAGATGGATTATTAACATTGTCGAATTGTTAGGATGTAATGATTAATTCTTATAGATGTACGCCATAGCGTGGGCGGTGGATCTACCGTCACGTATCGGGGATCTCGAGGTTTTCATATTGATTGTCTCGTGCATCTGCCACGATTTGGATCATCCGGGATACAACAACATCTATCAAATTAATGCTCGCACGGAGTTGGCTTTGCGATACAACGATATTTCGCCTCTGGAGAACCACCATTGTTCCGTGGCGTTTCGTGTTCTCGAAGCACCCGAGTGCAACATACTCGCGTCTTTGGACAATACGACGTATCGAATCGTTCGCGAAGGAATCATCAGATGTATCCTCGCGACGGATATGGCCAGGCATAACGAAATCCTTGCACAGTTCACCGACATCATCCCGGAATTCGATTACACCAACAAGGCCCACATCAATCTGGTGAGTCCTCGATTTTAATCAGCTACGCTGGAAAGTTACTTCGCGAAAATAAAGAAATCGTAACAAATTTTTATTATCTACCGTTTCTGAATGATTAAAGAAGTTTCAATTTAGTACCAGTTCTGTAAAAGGTGTAGAATTGGAAATCTGATTAAAAGACGAAGTTGAAAATTCTAATTAAATTAAATGTAAACACGACTTCTTTCCTTCTACTAAAATTTAATTAATTCTCTGCAATTCGAATTTTGTAAATGTCACTCCGTTTTGTAAAATGTCTTGAATGAAAGTACGAGATTGAAAATTTTATTACATGAAAATTTTCGTTTGTTCCAGTTGTCGATGATCTTGATTAAAGTGGCAGATATTAGCAACGAGGCTCGGCCAATGGAAGTCGCAGAACCGTGGCTGGATAGGTTGCTTCAGGAGTTCTTTAAACAGAGCGACGCAGAGAAGCTCGAAGGACTTCCCGTGACACCATTTATGGATCGTGACAAAGTAACAAAACCTTCGTCCCAAGTCAGTTTCATCGGTCTCGTTTTACTTCCTCTTTTTGAGGCCCTCGGGGAACTATTACCGGAACTGCAGGTACTTTTATTACCGGCTCTATCGTGTTAAGTGCGTTTATCTTCTTGATGGATACAACTTCCATTTCAACCTTATTGCGCATTAAAACGATTCGATAAATGACATTCTTTTATGGCATTACACCATTTCATGCAATGACATTTATATCACGTAAACTGTTTGATTAAATTTGCACTTTAATTCTATGTTATTACTTTTCCTTTTATCTGTGAAATGATATTGAACAGCTTAACTTCGTTTCTCTTTTACATTTTTCAAATTTAATCGATATAATATAAATCTAACATTCGGGTCACAAAAAATAGATTAAAAATATAAAGAAATTACAGCCTCTATTATTTCCATGTTTTAATTTCTTCGCGCATAAGAAAGAGATAAACAGCAAATGAAACGGGGCAAGAAGTAAAAACCTTTGTTGCAGTGCCAAATTGACAAGAAACGAAATCCTTTGTTGCAGAGCCTGAATAACAGGAAGTGAAAACCTTTGTTTCAGAGCCTAATAGTTCAGCCAGTAAGGGAGGCACTGGAGTACTACCGCAGATTGAACGAAGCAGCAAAGGACGAGCGTCACCACAGAAAAAGCGTGGCGGATTTGGGTGAATCTACACCGACCACAACGACTCCCGGTGGCAATGGTACGTCGACGGTCGTCAAATCCACCTCTTCGCACAGTATGCGCTCGAAACGTTCCGCCGGCACGATTCACTCGCGATCACGATCCACGGACGAAGACATCACGGAGAATCTAACCGGTGAGGACGCTGAAAACCTCGAAAGCTCGGATCCAGAGACAGCCACGGAGGTGGAAGTGAGCGAGAAGGCATTGAAGTTCAAGATCTCAACCGAGGGCACGATAACCGGTCCGCCAACAGGTAGGAAAAGCTACCCGGGTAGTCGGAAGGGTAGTCGCGAGAAATCTTCGCTAGATTATCATAATCACGACCTGGCCAGGGCCGTCAGAGAGCACGAAAGAAGACGCAGTAAAGCGGAGAATCTCGGCAGCGATCTGAGTTCACCGGTCAGCGCAAGATCGGCAGAGGGAACGAGAATCGTGGAGGAGCTGGAGAAGGACGACAAAGACTCGAAATTGAACGAACGAAAGCTAGTCGAGGGAAATGGTAACGTGGTGGTGGAAACACAGCCGAGGAATAACCTGAAAAAGACAAGCAGTCTAACGGAGAACGATCAGGAGGTCAGGTCTAGTCGCAAAGAGGTTCAAAGAGAATCGGTCGTGCTCCGTTGTTGCTGCGACGACAAAACCGGCTCCAACAACCACAAATCCATCTTCTCCAGACTGAGAAACTTCACGGACCGTCTGAGCATCAGCTTCGACTCGAAAGAACCGCCCCCGCAAAAGTCAACTAAACACTTGACGAAGACCCTGAACAAGAGTAACTCGGTGAGCAACGCGGCCACAGCCACTTCTTCCAGACACAATAATTCCCTGCCCATTTGCAAGCGATGCAATTTGCTGAAAACGTCAGTCAGAGAGGGAAAGGCTATAGCGACGGTAGTGGAATTGTCCTCGGTGGACAAGCGGGCTATGACGCTGCCAAAAGTGAGAAAATCGACCGATTGCAAGAACAAAAGCTGGAGAACGGTGTTTGCCAAGGAGAAGAGGTCGTCTACCTCCCTGGAAGCTTTACCGGGTGCCACGTGCGAGACCTCCTTGTCGGAGCACAGACGAAATTTCTCGAACCCCGAAGGCAAATCGCAGAGTCTGAAGGAGGTGAAGGATCAGTCGAGTCTGGACATCGAGTTCGGTGAGATCGAAGTGCGAGCGAAGAACCAGAAGCCCGAGATCATCGTGAAGGAAACGCGGTCGTCCAGAGAGAGTGTGCAGGGGGACATAGGCAAGGTGGAGATCAGAAGAAGCTCGGCGAGCATGGAGGACATCTCGAAGATGACGAAGCAGACGGAGAGCGTGATGCTGGGTTCGTTGGAGCCAAAGAAAGCAGAGGAACGTGCTCACACGGGCAGTCTCGACTCGATGCTGTGCAAAGACTCGACGAAATCTCAGAAGAAGCCGACGTTTTCTTCGCCAGCCACGTCCAAGAAGTCCTCGCCAGGTTTGTTGTCGCGATTCAAGTCCGGCATGAGCATCGACAGCACTAGGAGCAACAGCAACAGCGACTCCCTGCACGATCAGACCTCTCAATCACCCAGCGGGTGGATCTCCTCGTTGACGGCGAGCTTTCGACCGAAGAGACAAGTGTCAGAGACTCCGTTATCCTCGCATCCTCCGCGTTCGCCAAGCCGGGAGGAAATCAAGTGATACGGCCTAGTGGTCGAGGACTCATCCGAGAAACAGTTGTCGGGCCTGCACAGGTGGCTGGCTGAGAATTTCTTGTGTTGCAGCGGTTAAAACGGTTACGGAGGAAAATGGAGACGGAGCCAAAGATCGTTTGACGAAGGCTGACAGTAAAGGTGATCGTTTTCGTGACGTTGGGAATCCGGGGAAGCTAGTCCGAACAGGGAGGATGTCGAGTGACGCGTTGCAGGAGCGGTTTTATGTTCTTTCGGCTGGCTAGACTTCGTCGACGACGTTCTCAGACCAAGATCGAAAACGTTATTCGGCTCGATCTGGCGCGATACATGTTCTTCGTAAAGGAATTTCTGACGAGACTTTCCGGTTGATCGAGACCACGCGATCCCTCGAGCATTACGAGATCGTGGCAATCCTCTTTTCATGTAACATTTTGTCTGCAAACGACTCGAGGAAATTTCTTCTTTTTTTTTTATGAGAAACTCGAGGAAATTCGATCGTTTTCCGGGCAGCGATTGAACGCGATGGTGCACCGCCATATCGAGAAGCTTCCTCTTCGACGAAAAGGGCAAAGAGAGTTCGCACAAAAGTCTGTTCGCGTCGAAGAACCTAGTAGTATCCGATGTTAGGAAAAATTGACAAGGAAAGTCTCTCGAATATTTGAATAAAACTCAAAATGATGTCTCATAGCACGTGCGTGTAGTATGTCGATTAGCTGTTTCCAAATGTAGCCAGAGAATGTGTGAGTGTAATTAACGTTCGCATCGAAGCCAAACTGTCGAACAGGTGGCAAATACCAAATATATGTATATTGCTCCTAATTATCGATCTCCGTTCCGAGAGTAGCGTGAATGAAAGAGTGAAAGAGAGCCCGTGTGAAAGAGAGAGAGAGAGAGAGTGAAATGATAAAAAGAAAATTGTGAACAATGCGATTTTTGCATGTTGAGACTAAACGTTTCGACGAGTGTCAAGCGAAAGATACAAATAGAGAGGAAAGAAAAAAAAATAGGAAGGTATATGAACGAGAAAGAGAAGAGAAATCAAATGGACGGCCTGAAAAAATAGAGGAACAGAAGACACGGTATATAGACTATTTTATTTATTGTCCAATTAAAAGAATAGCCTAATGAATAATCCTTAATGTTGTTCGTTATTATACATACATATATATATACACACAAAAAATATATATATATAAATATATGCAAGACGCAAATGTATACAAAGACGTGAAAGAAAAGTATGCAACTCCCATCGAGACGAGAGTATAACGTATATAAATAATTATAAATATATAATTGAAGGAAGATCGAAAAAGATAACGGAAAAAAACTATAAACGACAGAGAAGCAGGCGCTGATAGAAAATTGTACGAATCTAGACGAACGCGTCGTGTCGAAAGTTCATTTCTCATCTATGATCTCCCCTGATGAAATTAAACAGGAATACAAAGAACGGAGGTACGGAAGCGAACAATATTCGTGTACGCGAACAAAGGGACGAATATCGTTTCTGAAACGCGACTCGCACGGAAAATGATTTTGTTGATCTGTCAAAAATTTAGATAAATGTTGAATAAACTAATTCCTCGTAAGAAGGTGTCTTCCTCTGATTTAAAGGCTGCAAATAGGTAATCGAGCCATCGTTTATTGACGAACAAAATAATAATCGCTTCGAACCTTTTGTCGGTTTGTTTGTCATGTATTAGGTCGTCAGAAACGTTCGTGTTTTCAAATAATAAAGTTCAATATTTTTTATAAATCAGTTTCTTTGAAGATGATAATTGTCTCTTTTTTGTGGTACAATAAACTCTTGTTATATTGCATGGAAGTTTGATTTTTGAAGTTTGACTGCCAGTACGGTTTTTGGCAGCCATTGTGAATTTTTGTGCGATGGCAGAGTTATTTGGCGATATATCGATTGGCAATTTAAGGAGAGTTTACTGTACTTCGTTTAATTTTTCGAGCACATTCAAATTTAGCTATGTAGATTTAAATGGAGTTGTAGGATCGGAAGAAGTGAAAAGAGCTTCTTTGGAATGCATCACCAAATCTGAAAATTTGAAAGATCTAAATTTATAAACTAAAAATATTCACTGACTTGAAGGTTTAAAATATGTAAATCTTAAAGTACACGTGAAAAATCAAATGGAAGAAAATAATCTTTCAAATCCTAATTTTGAAAATATTGATACAAAGAGTAATTCAGAAGAAACTAATTTTCATTCATGAAGTATTACATTGGCTATACAAATGAATATTACGTAGTTTCCTCGAGTGAAGATATAAACCCTCCTTTCATGCCATCATCCCTAAAATTAATTAGCATAAGTCCCTTCAAGTCAACTAATTAATTCTGCACTAAGCACGCAATAAAATCGGGATATGCGAACTTCCTAGACGACCTAATAGCATCATAATGGCGGCGATCTGCTATAACGAAAGTAACTGTCCCAAAAGGCTAAATTTTTAATGGATCGACAAATCTGTCCACGGCCTTGGAACGCGTGTTCGGCGATATTCGCGGAGAAATAGGAACGTGTGTGCTAGCCTAATGTAGAAGACCCTTCGCGATTAGTTGGTCCATCCTCGACACACAATCAGTTCTCTGCGTAATGGCGTCTCGTTTTTTCATTTCTTAGATGTTTATATTTTTATACTCCACCAGCAGTGTGTCTGTACGGCGATTATGTGCCGCATGTATTGTTGAAGTCTAGTCTTACGTTATCGTCTTCACCGGCCCAAAACCACGTATTTTTTTTTTTCATTATTTTTTGGGCGATTTCTTCGTTTTCTACGGCGATCGTAGAGCGGGAAGAAACATCTTGCGTCCGCGCGAGCTGCCTTTTGCATTCCGCGTAATGCTTGTTCGATTTTCCCCGTCGAAACCGCGCGAAGAGATTTGTTCAATGTCCTAGAAAAATGTACTTTTCGTTGGAAATTCATGGAACATTTGTTATCGAGAAGATACTGTGTCGTGTTCGAGTCGGAGCTTCAATCGGGTCCACTTTCCAGGATATTTTTATACATTTTATAATCTGTTTGTACAATTTCGTCAGATCACTTGTACGTTTGTGTTGATTCATTGCATGATTTTAACGTGTCAAATTTGATCGGTCTGTTCACTTAATTGGTTTTTAATCGGATGGAAATTATTTTATCTCGTACACTTACCTTTATCATTTTCTGTACGCGACACATACCAATATAATGTATTTTTCTTTTAATTAAATTGCAATGATATTATTAAATGACGAACTCATTTTTAATAAATTCGTTAAGTTCCACGTGTCTTCTATTTGAACGAGTTATGAATTATCACAAATATATTGTATTTCATTTTTCGACTGTAGTATACATATAATTCCCTTTTATTAATTCAGTAGTCTCGCTATGTGACCCGGGCTGGTTCTAAGAAATTTGCGAAGAAAACGAGCAATGTAGAACTCGAATAATCTATCACTGAAAACTTAACAATTTCAGATTTCCAAATTAACTTAAAAATTACTAGATTTACAAATTCGAAAAATTTCTAAATTAAAATATTTTCAATCTTCAATTTTCTATTTTCAATAAAAATTTCAATCTAAAATGTATAACTTCTTAAACTAAAAAAGTATAAACTTTCTTAATTTAATTTGAGAAGTGAAGACGTCTGAATTTCACACAGCGTGCCATATAGCGTGACTGCTCTGTAGAAAGTTTCGATTATAGTTGTTTTAGTTAAAATTCCCTCGTATACAAACATTTATTAATTATTTCGTCAAAGTAACTTCTGAATCGTTTGTCACAAACAGTGCACTTATAAACAATTAATAGATCTCTTCCACGGTGTATTTGAACGTATATTTGTAACAATTTGACCCGTGTGAATCGTTTAAAATTTCACTCTTTGAGAACTTTGAAAAGCACAGTGTCGACAATTTTAAAGGGCGTATACATTCGAGTGTGATGTAACGTGAATCGTTCGTTTGAATCGAACTGAAAATTCTTTCCGTTCGCGAACAAAGCAAGCGCTGCAGTCCAAACGTGTACCGTAAAATGTAGTCGCTATTTTACCTTGTACCATTCCTCAGACATTCATTTGAAAATTCTGCAGTATTATATTTTAATATTGTCGCAATGATCCATTTTAATTAGGGAAAATGGATTAAACCGGTTGAACGGATTACATCAATTTATTTCAATTACGAATCTCTTTTTATCATAATAAATTTCGGTTCACGAAATATTGGCAATTAAATTTCCCATGCATACTTTTGGAGATATCAATCAAAGTTAAAAAACTAATTTTGCTGTACCATAGATTTTATGAAATATAAATTGGGAATCCTGGATGAAGATACTCGCGAATGATAAAATTTGCTGCGTAGGTGGCCTCCGTCGTTTGTCAGAGGACTGTCACATTATACAATATGTTACACGTTACATTAAACTCGTCTGTGTACATCTTCAGGTCCATTCATATATGCAGACGTTGAAAAAAACCCACGACGATGGATCCCATACTTTTGATATTTCCTTCACAATTAAATTCAATATTTTCATATTTTCTTTTACAAATTCGTATCCTTATATTTAAAGCAATATCCTTATATTTGTGATAAGTTTCTGATCAGTGGATAGAATGAATTACCTCCTTGTAAAAATGTTTAGAATAAAAATTTGAACAATATACCTCTTTGATGTATGAAGTTCTTTGGTATACGTAGACCATCGATAGTTTATGTTTTCAATCACTTTTCTAAAAATCTATTTCAGTGAATTTGTCACAAATTTCAATGAGTTATTCTTATAACATTTGGTAGTGTCTGAATGATTCTTGACTTTAAGTTAAAAGACTCTGCACACCACTCTCTTGCTAATGAATGAAAACACGTGTTAAATATTTTTGTCAGGCACAAATATACTGTACCGTGAAAGATATTACGTATGTTACGTACTGATTACACATAAGGAACAAGCATAATTAATCATAAGGGAAAATGAGAAAAATGTATGAATACTCTGCATGTTTAATGTCTGCAAATGTGAACGGACCTCAAAGAAGTGTATCGAAGTGAATCATGTTCAGTCGTAAAGATTATGTACACATAAATTAAACTTCCAGGTGGTACGAATGGAAAAAGCGTTTTCGTCATCTCGATCAAAGTCGATTGAAAGATAGTTCAATCGGAAGATCTGAATTAAATACTTTTTCCAATCGATCACTCGCTCTCTGTGCCTAACCTATGTCAATACTTTTCTTTGTCTTTTCCTATAAGATAAATTACGATTACGCGAGTCAGTATCGAGCCGATTTTTCTTGTAAACCTTTGGACCATCTGTATCGGACAATCGAATTTAAATAAGATTATTTTCGGAACGGGTCTGTCTCGATATTCGATTCGAGACTTCGATAAGAGCAGACGAGAAACGGAACGGAAACTCGAAGGTCCAATATCGTATCGTAGGTAGCACCGATATCGCGTTTCTACTCGTCAATTGATCGATTTATTCGCGTCGAGGTAGCTCTCGTGTCCCAATTATTCCCGTCAATTAACGGAAACGTAATCGATCGTTTTCTCTCGTGGATGATCCCGGAGAAGAAGAAGCATCGCGATGTGAATCGAAAGTGTGGGCCAACGTGACACCCGAATGCCACAAATATCACCCTCGTCTCTCTTGTTCCGTTGTCTGCAACCTTCATGGATTCGTGTCTCGTTCAATCAGCTTCGCCGCAGCAGAACCTAATTAGCGAGCGAGAGATCGTTAAATGAACGTGTATTAACTAGAATGCGGCGACGAAGTTGTGCGTCGAGACACGCCGAGATGATTTCTCGCCGTTTTATGTTCACCTTTATCGTGCCGACTTAGAAGTCCAGTTTTGGAAAACAGGTTAAAAATTATACATATTTGTTCGTTACAAGTTGTCGAGTGTACTGATGTCAACCCCTGAGTTGGCGCGTGAGGAGGCTGACGTAGGAGAGCTACGGTGCAGTTGGTTAGGGTAGAATCCCTACATTGTTGAATTTCTATACTTCCAAATTTCTATATTTCCGAATTTCTACAATCTCGAATACCTACAATCCTGAATATCTACATTTTCTAATCTCTACATCTCCAAATCCCTCTATTTCCAAATTCTAACATACCTAAATCGCTGCATCCCTAAATCGCTACGACCCAAATTCCTACATCCCAAAATCTCTACATTACCAAATTTCTACATTTCCAAATCTCTACATTACCAAATTTCTACATCTCCAAATCTCTACATTACCAAATTCCTACATTTCCAAATCGCTACGTTCCCAAATCGGTACATCCCTAAATTGCTATATCTCCAAATCTCGATATTCCCAAATTCTCCACATTCCCAAATTTCTACATCCCCAAATATCTACATTACCAAATTTCTACATTACCAAATTCCTACATTCCCAAATCGTACGTTCCCAAATCGGTACATCCCTGAATTGCTATATCCCCAAATCTCGACATTCCCAAATTCTCCACATTCCCAAATTCCTACATCCCCAAATCTCTACATTACCAAATTTCTACATCTCCAAATCTCTACATTTCCAAATTCCTACATCCCTGAATTGCTATATCCCCAAATCTCGACATTCCCAAATTCCTACATCCTCAAATCACTACGTCCCCAAATTCCTACATCCTCAAATCACTACGTCCCCAATTATAACCAAATTATATCCTCATCGTTTCTGAACATCCAACATGTGTGAACATTCTTTTCATTTTTTCCTGAATGATAAAACATTGAGAAGCAAAGTGCTTTTATGAAAGCTAGCATGTCGATGTTAAATTTAACTCAAATATATTTCCGTTTAATAAAGAGGGAATCAGTGTCTCCACAGATATTAATAGCAGATTGCAAACGATGTTGATTTTGAAAACAGTGAGACGGAAATGTTTGCCTGTAAACAACTGATATGGTTTTGTGCAGTATGTCAGAGAAAGTAATTAATTATTTCTTGTTAAATTATTTTGTAAGAAGGATGAGATATTGGTTCAATCGCCAATGCAATAGTGGAATACTTTGCTTTTTGCAATTCTTTCGTTTTAATCCTCCATCGGATAAATGATGAGTTTTCTTTGAAATATTTTAACACTTGATTAACAGAATCAATACGAATTAAATAATCCTTGCAATTTAAAAATTTGTGAGACTTTGTTTACGTATCAAAATTATTTTATACCACATTAAGGCTCCATAAAATCAATATTATAGCAACATGTTGATGTCCCTAAGTGAAATTGTAATGTATAGAAGAAACGATGCAACATGTGTACAAGCATTTAATTATCATAATTACATTTTATGTCTCTTGCGTATGTATATAATAAATTTCACAATATTTAATTATTAATTTTTAAATTACAGTAGAATATATTGTTTATTAATTGTATTTCTAAAATAACCTCACTATCACTATTTTGAGAATTATTTTTGTATTAAACATTTTTATACTCTTTTTAAATTTTTAAGTTTTTAATCTGAACTGTAGATAATAGAAAAAGTTAGGATATTTAAAAATGCGCATGCCAAAACAAATATGGCGATAATCATATTTCGAATATTAAATGAAGAATAACTAAGCATAATATTACATTCAGGACGTTAAATTAATGAGCAGATTGTACAGGTAATAATAATATTTTGTTGCAAAGCGCGTAATTAACTTGACAGGCTAATAGCCGCAGGGATCCAATAAATTCAATTAAACCCAAGTGGAAATATTACTTTGTAATTAAACCGCTGACCATAGTACTGCTCGGAAGTTGATGAAATAGTCATTTCGAAATGATTCAGTGAAATTTAACGATGATTCGCTACTCGAAATACCTACTGGGATTTGTTTATTTAATGTGAACGTGAAATGAACAGGTTATACGTTATCGATTATAAACGTAAAATTAACAAATTTGTTGCGACATTATCGAGTAGATGTGAAGATTGAATATTTATGGTAATCTGATACTGGTGTTCAGGATATCTCAACATTTTTTGTTGCATTTAATGTGACTGACTCCATTTTCGAACATTTGAGATTTTTATGAGTTTGCAAATATTCTTTTGCTAAAACAACTTGAATTTTCATAAACTAAATTTTGAAAATTCCCAAATTCTCAAATTCTCAAATTCTCAAATTCCCAAATTCTCAAATTCCCATATTTCTAAATTCTCAAATACCCAAATCCCCAAATCCTCAAATCTCCAAATTCTCAAATCGCCAATCTCCAAATTCTCTAATACCTAGCTTCTCAAATACCTAAATTCTCAAATCCACAATTTCTCAAATCCCCAAATTCTCAAATCCCCAAATTCTCAAATCCCCAAATCCCCAAATTCTCAAATCTCCAAATTCTCAAATCTCCAAATTCCTAAATCCCCAAATTCTCAAATCCCCAAATCCCCAAATCCCCAAATCCTGAAATCTTCAAATCCACAAATCCCCAGAAACCCAATCTCCAAATCCCCAAACATCCGCACTAAACTTTCAAATTTCCAAGTAACAATAATTATTCCCGCAGTACTCGTTAAATCCAAAGCTTTCAATATCAAAATCCATTTTCAGTTTCTCAAGCTCACAAATTCCGAAATCTTCAAATCCACAAATCCCCAGAAACCCAATCTCCAAATCCCCAAACATCCGCACTAAACTTTCAAATTTCCAAGTAACAATAATTATTCCCGCAGTACTCGTTAAATCCAAAGCTTTCAATATCAAAATCCATTTTCAGTTAACATTTCGCCCAGCGCAAAACTGAAAATTTGCAACAGCATGCTTTTAACGACAAGTTTCCAATAAACGAATGAAAAATTCTAGAAACACCTGTCAATCTGCAACGAATTTTTGAATAATTCTTTCGGTTCCATATGAATCTACGATTCCTAAAATTACGTTTTTGTTCAGACCTGAAAGCCCTTGCGACGTTTAATCGATAAAGCGTGTTCCGTGCTTGAAATGTTCGTAAAAGTGAATCGGTCTTCGTAATTTCTGTATAAATATCGAAATGCATAATTGTGACAATTATTTAAATGCAGTCCCTTTATACCTACACACGGAATGAAGTATACCCATCAATTTCCTCTAAAATCATAAAACATCTCTTCTCAATTACGTTCTTGGTTCGCTACGATAATTTACTTTTCCATCACTTTGACATCGAATGAATCGAATATTTTCTCGTCAAAAAAGCTTTCAATTCGTCCCTTCGTGAATTTAATCTTCTTATAAAACGACCAATCGGAACGTTGTAAATTTTCACGCATAAAACCAGTGAATCAAGTTTTCCAGTTCTGCGAACAACTTTTGGTCTGCGTGATTTTCCATTTGTATTCATCGCATTGAAATTATAGCTGTCCTAGAGTACGAAAGGAAACCTCTTCCAGCGTATTCCTCTTATTTCTCATTAGCTATTTAAATTGCTATCTCACGCTGGTGCATGAACGGTGGAACACAAGAAACGAACTGGACCGTGTCGTGTTAACACGCATGCTGTAAACGCACGATAAAGGTTAACAGGATGGCCTGTAATTGGTTTGACGAAGGAACAGCTCAAGATACGCGGATTGTACCAACAAAAATTTAAGTAGAGTACACACGCTGAGGCATGTTGCGATGTATTTATTAACTGCAAGATTTCAGGGTGTTGATCATGTGAACTCATGCATGTAAAATTATACATGTGTTGATCCAAAAATATATTATTCGAAGGAAGTGTTTAGGTTCATAGAAAGGATGGGCTATTTGGATAAAAGGTTCAAATCATGGAGTTAGAATGATTTTATTGGGATTGCAGTTTATTACGTACATATCAGAATTAAGAATTCTACAAGTATTAACTTGATTCACACGAGTTAGATTCAAATAAAAACTCGTTCAAAAATTTATTGAACACATTATAGGCTTAATTAATATTAGAACAAAAATGTATTGAAAATTATTAAGTTAATATTTGAATAAAAATTTGTTCAAATTACTTGGTAAAACCTATTAGTAACACCATGAATAATTCTAATATTATTCCGATTATTTATTTACATTATTAAAATCAAGGTATTAAAATTAATTCTCTGTATACAAAATGCATTATTTCAATGTCTAGATAATTTTTGAATAAGACAATTTTGTTCGAGAACTCCTTTTAAATAATTGCAAAAGGACATATCAAAAATAATGAAAAATGTATATTGTTTATGTCTTCTATGAATAAGTAATTTGTATATATCAAATGAATTTGTACATTACGAAAGATTTTGTATATTACTAGTTTCACAATACTTTGTGAAATTTACTAATTTCAGAAATATTTGTTTCTCGCAAATTGAGGAATCAAAGTAACGTTGCGGTCGATGGACGACATTCGGGTGCAGTTTAATGAAGCTTAAAAATCGATACATCGTAACGTTTTCCAGCGTGTGTAGGTTGCTTAATACCCTAGATGTATGTATAACGTGTATTTACCTGGATAGAGAGAAAGAGAGAGAGAGAGAGAAAAACATGGAACGGAGGACGTGAAATAACGGCTAAGCTCGCTGGCGAGTTTCTATCATGATATTGTAAACGATGAACTGTATAGTTACTATTATTATTGTGTGTAAGAGTATCGTGAAATAAATTCAAGCACCGATTCGTTATTGTTCGACTATCGATTGTTATTGCATAATCAAAGACCGACGATTTACGCTTATTCATAAATCGCAAACTATTGCAATACTTGCACTTCGGTGCATATTGAAAATTATGGACTTCTGGAGATCTTAGGACGATAAAACGCGAAGAATTGGCATGTTCTAATTGTTAATTAAAATGAAGTTTAGATTTATGCATATTCTTGCAAATGTAAATTATTTGTGAAGGATTACAAGTCTGTTTGATTGATAACAAACTCATAATTCGCTGGATCACAGACTCACAATTCACTGGAGTCATTATTTAATTCAACGCTTATTATATACAATTCTATAATAAAAGATTAAGATTTACAATATCTACATTAAGTAGATATCTACATCAATATCTACATTAATTTCCAAGATGTCAAATTAAAATCTACTTCATTCACATTATCGTGAAACGTTTAACAAAAGAATTGTTTTGATTTAATTTTGCTGAACCTCCTTCGCGAACAAAATTTAACATCTTACACTGCATATATTATCAAATCAAAATATCTAAGAATCAAACAATCAAAATATCAAAACGAAAGTCCGCATAGTCATAATAGTTAAAATCTCAATCGATTGCACTCGAGATATTCTACTGAGTGTAATTGTGCGTCGGAAAAAGAAGATGAGATATGACAACATCGTCATTGAACAATACGAATGCGGTGCGAGGATACCGTATGCCAACGGTAATCCATCATTCCAATTTGATTCCAAGGTGTCGTACTAATATATTACAGAGATTTAATTCTAAGTAAGCGAACGGGCCATGTGGCGGGCGGCCAGCCGGTTAGTCTCTTTTGTAAATGAGAATTAAGTGAATAAAACAAATATATATATATACACACATTGCGTCAATGAACCATTTGTTTCAGAACCACAAGAAGATTTCAAGGATTCATCTGTACTTTCATCTTTATTTCAGCCTAACGCATAGCGCTTAATAACAAAATTATATACAGACGGTATCTAACAACCATTATCCGAATACATCGACAACACTGTACAACTTTCAATGCAACTCGAGGATTTAACCAGCTGCAGTTGTGAGCTTTCGGAACTTCACATATAATCCACCTTGAGCTGTCGTAGTGAGTCCTCTGGGATCCAGAACCATTGGAACCGTTGTTTTATCACAGGGCGTCACTTCGTAATCTTTGATCACCTGCACTACTCCGAGCTTCGATTGCATGAGTCCCAATCGAGAACCTGAAATAAAAATTACCGTAAGCAAAAAGTATCCATATCCTCAAAACATTTGCGAACATAAAAATATAGAATTTTCGATTATACAGTTACTCATGGTATACTATTTACATATTCCAAAAAACAGCTCTTAAAGTAAAATTTATTCTACAAGGAAACCTATCAATACAGTCGACAAACAGACACATATAACACTAACCGAAGCAATTGTGAGGTCCATCGCCGAAGGGGAAGTATGTCATGTTCGGTCGCTTCCGTTTGTTCTCTTCGGTGAACCTCAATGGGTCGTATTTGTCTGGGTCAGGATAGTACTCCGGGTCATGGTGTATTCCCATCATGGGTATGTACACTGGTGTACCTTTCTCCAACACCAGATCAGAATTTGGTACTTTGTAATCCTGGCAAGTGACGCGATCCAAAAATCCCAGGGGTGGGTATTTACGGAGGGTCTCCGATATTACCATATCGAGATATGGTAGCGTCATAACCTACATAGAAAGTTCATTGATTCGTTGTCACAATGATTACGCGTTAGACTTAGCTGGAATAACGTACCATTTCGTACGTGATCTTGCCACCAGATTCCTCGAGGGCTTCGTGGATCTCGTTCCTAAGAGTTTTCTGAATTTCGGGATGCAAGGCTAATTCGTATAACGTGAAAGACATGGTACTAGAGGATGTTTCAAAACCACCAACAAAAAAACCGCTTGCCTGTGCCACCAAATCATCGCCATTGAAGTCTAAACATTTTCGCACAAAATTTATATAATTTATTGCACAAAAATAATTTATTGTACGAAAAGAACTTTACATCTTATGCGAATCTAACTTACCGAATCCTTTCATGTCTTTGTCATTTCCGTGCTTCTCTCGTAGTTCAATCAGCAGATCGATGAGATCGTTTCGCTTCTGTTTAGACTTAATCCGTTCGTTAATAACGTCCCAGAAAACGTTTCGCAAGAACTCACTGGCATTCCTCCCGAGAAACTTCGGTCGCGTATACTTGATGTATTCCGGCAAGAAAAATATAATCATAAATTCAAGACTGCGTCGCAAACTGTAGCCGAAGATTTCTCTGCCCGCCTCCCTGAATGGCGCTTTCGGATTTTCCAACGATTTTACACTCAAACCGAAAGAGGTGCTGGCAATCATATCGGTAGTGAAATTCGCACTGAGATCCTTCAGTTCAATTGCCTTTCCATTACCTTGAATATTCAGTGCTATATTAATTACATGTGAACGTCATACGTAAAGAAAAGTTATATGTAAAAGATATATGAAATTCACATATGAAAGTCATGTTAAAGTTACTATACCATATTTAAAAGAACTCCAGAATTAATTACTACTCTGTATAAATCAAATTTATATAAGACTATACTTAAATCAAATTGTAATTTACTGTTACATATTATCCATACTATTCAGAATCGTTCCACATTTCTTTTGAACTATTAAACTGTGACGCGTACCAATGGTCTCCAAAGCAGTTGTGCGAAAGAAATTACGTTCTCAGATTTTGAATACAACAAAGTTAAACTGACAACACTTACCTTCCAAATTCAGAGCGTTCAAATGCTGCTCAAGGTCTTTAGCAATTAGCAACATCAGATCAAACATCTTCTTCAGCTTTCCTGTCGTGAAGATCGTGGTCAGCTTAGTTCTGAGCATCTTCCACTCAGGATTTTTGATCAGGAAGGGGTTCGCATACCCCAAGCGATCGTGTATTTCGTCCGCAGTCACATGTCTGTCTGCAAATACGTGGAAGTCCTTCACCAGGATATGTTTCACAAGATCAGGATCCCGTGCTAGGAAGTATGGTTTGTTGAAGATGTAGAAGCCCATGTAAGGTAGACCTTTGGATTTGTTGTACAAGCCGTGCAGGTGTTCAGAGGGTGATGTCCTTCCCAACATGCAGTCGCCAAAATTTCCTAGCAGAGGTGTTCGCGGGATCTCCATGACCCCTCGTTTCGCCCAATATTTGTAATTTCGTGTCAGAAGATAGTACAGGAACGCCGTGAAAGGCATGAGGAGGAGGATGCCATCCACGGCCCAACTAGCCGTCAGCAGAGCCATTTTGAAGAGATCTGAACACTCACTTGAATTAGAGTTTAACTGCAGCTATCATGTGCTGAATTTTGCGATAGGTTATAAAACCGAGTAATATTGGGTTGTCCCGAAAGTTCGTGCCGATTTTCGGTAGGCGGCATGAAATTTTATTTAGAATAATTTTTCACCAAAAAATCTGGGACGTTCTGGAAGGACTTCTCGAGTTGCATAAAAGATGGAGAAAGGTTATAGAACAGAATGGCACCCATATAATTTAATAAATGTGTATCAAATTTAAATGAGCTGCGTTTCAATTCCCCTCAAAATCGGCACAAACTTTCGGGACAACCCAATATATAAAGTTCACTACAGCAATGAGATTAACTCACGTTTCTACGACGGGAAATCTTTTGAAACACTTCGCAAAGCTATAACCTAATAAATGACGTTTATATACTCCGGCAGTAACACACACACACCATGCAATCGTCTCCCTACTCTTCAGATAACAAACAAAGTTAATGCAACATCATCGTTTGTAATGTTCGCGTGACGCTAGTTCGTTGACAACAGCATTTTATCACATTTTTGTCAAGGCAGAGCAATGTATTAATCGATCAGTTTAACACGTGCCGAAGTATGGTCTGAATTTGCACTACTTTGTCGTTTGTAGAACTAAATTCGCTCGGTCTAGGAATGTTTTAAACAGTGGTGTAGGAGGAAAAGTCGGGAAAAGTTACCTAAGAGGAAACTCCGAGAGAATTGAATCATTTCCTTCTCGGAATTGTTATCGTGTAGTGATAATAGATGACACTCGTTTAACGCAAATTATAATAGCTTGCAAGTCATGTCGAACGAGCTTTCATGTTGCCATACTTAATTTACATTAAGAATTTATTGTATCGTTTAAAAATAAAGTTTGGACATTTTTTTCGTAGGTATAACTATATAAGTTTCGGTTTTGTACATGTATTTTAGAAATTATAGGCTCCGCATAAATATAGATACAATTGTTGATAAAATTTTGCTATGTCATAATGTAATTATCGGTTATATAATCACTGAAAATAATAGTAATTACTGGTGAACGCTATGATGTTTCCTAAATAATGTACATGCGATTTTTTATTAATTTACGTCTTTTTAAATAATAGTTCAAGAATTCGTTTATCATAGCACGAATATTTCGTTCCTTGCATATGACTTTTATTCATTACTTTTTAAATAATGCTCATTACGCTGTACTTTAAGAATGATACCAAGATTTACGCGGTCATTCGTATTTATAAAAGATATAATAATTTCAATGTCAATTATGAAATTTCTGTTTCCGTGTCATCTGTACGTATCAAATCTATACACAGACATTATCCATTAACGTACTCCATCATCATTTGACAGAATTGCACGTCCCGAAATGAACAACGCATTAAACATATACATCTTTATGTCTTCAGAAGCATACATTCCTCTTATAACGTGATCTGTAGTTTTCTTTTGGAAATTTATTGACATGAATTTAATTCTTTTCTTCCTTTTGTATAATTAGCGTAATTAACGATAATTATTGAAAGTGAATAATTTTCTTTGCTAAAGAACTAGAAGTTATCTACAAAAGTATATCGTATGTTTATAGTAAATTTGTTTGTTCCCACGTGTTATATCACTTGTTTATCTTACCTCCATCAGTCACATTGTACATCGCTTACACGTTATGTCACTCATATACTATCAGTCACGTGTTATACCCCTTACGGCTTGTATTGTCTACGTGTTATGTCAGTCACGAACAATGTCGCCTATGTAGCATACATTTTTCGTGTTGTATTGTATGTATCCTATGACGATACAATGCGCGATGCATTGTATCATAGCACGTTATATCGCTATCCTTCGTATCGTTGCACGTTGTACATTTATACATTATACTGATATTATAACACGAGTGCCAGCTCGGCAACAATTTATTCCGCTGCAGTTGTGAGCTTCCTAAACTTAACGTATAATCCATCTCGAGCTGTCGTGGTGAGTCCTCTGGGATCTAGAACCATTGGAACCGTTGTTTTATCACAGGGCATCACTTCGTAATCCTTGATAACTTGCACTATTCCGAGCTTCGATTGCATGAGTCCCAATCGAGAACCTGAAATAGAAATTACTGTAAGAAAAAGTATCCATATCCTCAAAAAACATTTGTGAACATAAAAATGTAGAACTACCGATTATACAATTACTCATAGCACACTATGTACATATTCCTTCGATAAATAGCTCTTAAAGTAAGATTTGTTCAACGAAGAAACCTATCGATACAGTCAACAAACAGACACACATAACACTAACCGATACAAATGTGAGGTCCCTCGCCGAAAGGGAAATATGTAAAGTTTGGTCTCTTCTGTTTGTTCTCTTCGGTGAACCTCAATGGGTCGTATTTGTCCGGGTCAGGATAGTATTCCGGGTCACGGTGTATACCCATCATAGGTATGTACACTGGTGTACCTTTCTCCAGCACCAGATCAGAGTTTGGTACTTTGTAATCCTCGCTAGTGACGCGATCCAAGAATGCCAGGGGTGGGTATTTACGGAGGGTCTCCGAAATTACCATATCGAGGTACGGTAACGTCATAACCTATACAGGAAGATCATTGAATCATTGTCACAATGATTCCGCGTTAGATTTAGCTGGAATAAGCTCGTACCATTTCGTACGTGATCTTGCCATCAGATTCCTCGAGGGCTTCATGTATCTCGTTCCTAAGAGTTTTCTGAATATCGGGCTGCAAAGCCAATTCGTATAGCGTAAAGGACATGGTAGTAGAGGACGTTTCAAAACCTCCAGTGAAGAATACGGCTGCCTGTGCCACCAAATCATCGCCATTGAAGTCTAAAGATTTTTGCATAAAAGATTATTTATATAATTTATTGTACAAACATGACATCGTGACTTATGCGAATGTAACTTACCGAACCCTTCCATGTCTTTGTCGTTTCCGTGCTTCTGTCGCAGTTCGATCAGCAGATCGATGAGATCGTTTCGCTTCTGTTTAGAGTTAATCCGTTCGTTAATAACGTCCCAAAAAACGTTTCGCAAGAAATCACTGGCATTCTTCCCGAAAAATTTCGGTCGCGTATACTTGATGTATTCCGGCAAGAAAAATATAATGATAAATTCGAGACTGCGTCGCAGATCGTAGCCGAAGATTTCTCTGCCAACCTCCCTGAATTGAGCTTTCGGATCTTCCAACGATTTCACTCTCAAACCGAAAGCGGTGCTGGCAATCATATCGGTAGTGAAATTCGCGCAGAGATCCTTCAATTCGATTGTCTTTCCATCACCTTGAATATTCAATGTTATATTAATTACATGTGAACGTCATAGGTAAAGAAAAGTCATATATAAAAGACATATAAAATACAGATATTAAAGTTACGCTAAAGTTACTATACCATATTTAAAAGAACTCCAGAATTTCATACCTAGTTTATGAACCAGTCTACTACTAATTAATTACTACTCTGTATAAATCAAATTTATATAAGACTATACTTAAATCAAATTGTAATTTACTGTTACATATCATCAATACTTTTCAGGATCGTTCCACATTTCTTTTGAACTATCAAACTGTCACGCGTACCAATGGTCTCCACAACAGTTGTGCGAAGGAAATTACGTTCTCAGATTTTGGATACAACAATGTTAAACTGACAACACTTACCTTCCAAATTCCGAGCGTCCAAATGCTGCTCAAGGTCTTTAGCAATCAGCAACATGAGATCAAACATCCTCTTCAATTTTCCTGTCGTGAAAATCGGGGTCAGCTTAGTTCTGAGCATCTTCCACTCAGGATTTTTGATCAGGAAGAGGTTTGCGTACCCCAAGCGATCATGTGTGTCGTCCGCAGTCCCATGTCTGTCTCCAAATATGTTGAAATCCTTCACCAGGATATGTTTCACAAGATTAGGATCCCGTGCTAGGAAGTATGGTTTGTTGAAGATGTAGAAGCCCATGTAAGGTAGACCTTTGGATTTGTTGTACAAGCCCTGCAGGTATTCGGAGGGTGATGTCCTTCCCAACATGCAGTCACCAAAATTTCCTAGCAGAGGTGTTCGCGGGATCTCCATGACCCCTCGTTTCGCCCAATATTTGTAATTTCGTGTCAGAAGATAGTACAGGAACGCCGTGAAAGGCATGAGGAGGAGGATGCCATCCACGGCCCAACTAGCCGTCAGCAGAGCCATTTTGAAGAGATCTGAACACTCACTTGAATTCGAGTTTAACTGCAGCTATCATGGGGTGAATTTTGCGATGAGTTCTAAAACCGAGTAATGTCACTACAGCAATGAGATTAACTCATGTTCCTACGACGGGAAATCTTTTGGAACACTTTGAAAAACTGCAGTCTAATAAATGACGTTTATATACTCCGCAGTAACATACACACGCCACGCAATCGTCTCCCTCTTCTTTACATAAGAAACAAAACTAGTACAACATCATCGTTCATAATGTTCGCGTGACCCTAGTTCGTCGACAACAACGTTTCATCACATTTTTATCAAGTCGGAGCAATGTATTAATCGATAAGTTTAACACGCGCCGAATATAGTCTGAATTTGTACCACTGTCGTTTGTAGAACTAAATTCGCTCGGTCTAGGAATGCTTTAAACAGTGGTGTAGGAGGAAAAGTCGGGAAAAGTTACCTAAGAGGAAACTCCAAGAGAATTGTATCATTCCCTTCTCGGAACTGTTATCGTGTAATGATAATAGATGACACTCGTTTAACGCAAGTTATATCGGACGAGCTTTCAAGTTGCCATTCTTAATTTAAATTAAGAATTTTTTGAAACATTTAGAAATAAAGTTTGGGCATTTTTTTTGTAGATGTAACGGAGTAAGTTTCGGTTTTATGCATGTATTTTAAAAATTATAGGCTGCACATAAACGTATAGACACAATTGTTGATAGAGAGAAACGCGTGTTTGCTATGTCATAATGTAATTAGCCGTTATATAATCGCTGAAAGTATTAGTAATTACTGGTAAACGCTATGATGTTTCCTAAATAATGTACATGTGATTTTTTATTAATTTACGTCTTTTTAAATAATAGCTGGTTTAAGAATTCGTTTGTCATAGCACGAATATTTCGTTCCTCGCATATGACTTTTATTTATTACTTGCTAAATAACACTCATTACGCTGTACTTTAAAAATGATACCAATATTTACGCGAACATTCGTATTTATAAAAGATATAATAATTTTAATTTGTATGCATCAAATCTATACATAGACATTGTCCATCAACGTACTCCATCATTTGACAAGATTGCACGTCTCGTAATGAACAACGCATTAAACATATACATCTTTATGTCTTCAGAAGCATACATTCATTTTATAACGTCATCTATAGTTTTCTTTTGGATATTTATTGACATGAATTTAGTTCTTTTCTTCCTTTTATATAGTTAGTGTGAGAAGTATTAACAATTGTTATTAAAGCTGAGTAATTTTCTTTGCTAAAGGACTAGAGGTTATTTACAAAAGTATATTATATATTTACAGTAGTACATTTGTTTGTTGCCACGTGTTATATACATGTTTATCTTATCTCCGATCAGTCACGTTGTATACTGCTTTCACGGTATGTAACTCATATACATATCATTCACGTGTTATATCCTTTACATTTTGTATTGCCTACGTGTTATATCACTCACGAACAATGTCGCCTATGTATCATACATTTTTCGTGTGGTATTGTATGTATCCTATGGCGATACAATGCGTGACGCATTGTATACATACATCACTACCCATCGTATCGCTACGCATTACACATTTATGCATTAGACCACCACATATCATATCACATTCGTATTACATCGCAACGTGTTTTATTATGCCTTATACTGCCACACATTACATTGCACAGTCTTATTTCTAAGTAACTTATTGATTTACTTATTATTCAGCCAGTTTCATAAGGAATTAAAAGCAAATTAGGTGAACAAATCTATGTCAGTATATGTACATACATATCATTGCAGAAATAAAAACCACTTGTACAAACATATTTATTACTATCTAGTATCCTGTTCCATGCAACATCGCAATCTCTATGATGTCGGATAAAGAATAACCAACTAATTATTATATAAATATCTAAATGATGTTACAACACGAGTGCCAGCTCATTTAACCCGCAGCAGTTGTAAGCTTCCTCAACTTCACGTATAATCCATCTCGAGCTGTCGTGGTGAGTCCTCTGGGATTCAGAACCACTGGAACCGTTGTTTTATCACAGGGCATCACTTCGTAATCCTTGATCACCTGCACTATTCCGAGCTTCGATTGCATGAGTCCCAATCGAGAACCTGAAAATAAAAATTACCGTAAGCAAAAAGTATCCATATCCTCAAAACATTTGTGAACATAAAAATATAGAACTTTTGATTATACAGTTACTCATGGTATACTGTTTACATATTCCTCCGATAAATAGCTCTTAAAGTAAGATTTGTTCAACGAAGAAACCTATCGATACAGTCGACAAACAGACACACATAACACTAACCGATGCAAATGTGAGGTCCCTCGCCAAAAGGGAAATATGTAAAGTTTGGTCTCTTCTGTTTGTTCTCTTCGGTGAACCTCGATGGGTCGTATTTGTCCGGGTCAGGATAGTACTCCGGGTCACGGTGTATACCCATCATGGGTATGAACACTGGTGTACCTTTCTCCAGCACCAGATCAGAATTTGGTACTTTGTAATCCTGGCTAGTGACGCGATCCAAGAATGCTAGGGGTGGGTATTTACGGAGGGTCTCCGAAATTACCATATCGAGGTATGGTAGCGTCGTTATCTACAAAAAAGTTCATTGAACGATTATTACCATGTCTATAAATTTTTACATCTTTAAATAAGTGCTAAGCAGTAAGACGTGGTCATGCTACTCATATTAGAGTTTACAAGTTTGATACACATGAGAAATGTCAACTACCAAATAATTGCTTAAATTGTTAAAAAGTTTTAGCAGTTTTGTTAAACTTTTAAATACTATTTAACTTGTTAACTGACTATTTACAGTATTTAATTTTGTTAACTATATGTAGTCAAGAGAGCTAACTGCATTTATGTACAATAATCAGAGAGATAAAGTAATATGCGAGAGAAAAATTTTTCAAGGTTAAGAGATTGCTTTTTTTTATCTCAGTAATTTCTATTCGCTGTTAAAGACGTGATAAAATCTCACAGCTGTCCAAGTTAATTATCAGCGATAAGATAAGACGATCATTGTGCTTTTAATAAGTCCGTACCATTTCGTATGTGATCTTGCCGCCGGATTCTTCAAGGGCTTGAAGAATCTCGCTCCTGAGAGTTTGTTGAATTTCAGGGTGTAAAGCGAGTTCGTACAACGTAAAGGACATGGTAGTAGAGGATGTTTCAAAACCACCAGTGAAGAATATGAGGGCCTGTGATACCAAATCATCACCGTTGAATTCTGAAATATCAATTTAAATGATATTACAAGTTCCCTTCTACTAAATTCGTATGATACTTTACAAATATTTGAATTTTTATTTATAATTTTATGCTGCATCTGATCGTGTCTATTTTTACATATCACCGTAGCGATTTCTGATATAAATCGACCTTTATAATTGATACAAATACTCACGGAATCCAGCCATATCGGTGTCATGTTCATGTTTCCGTCTGAGCTCGATAAGAACATCGATGAGATCGTTTCTCTTCTCTTGCGATTTAACTCGTTCGTTGATTACCTGCCAGAAAACATCGCGCAAGAATTTACTGGTATCTTCCCCGAATACTTTCACTCGAGTATATTTCACGTATTCTGGCAGGAAGAACACTACTGTCAACTCTAGACCTCGTCGTAGATTGAAGTCAAACATTTTTCTGCCACAATCTCTGAATGGCACATTTGGTTTTAGCAACGAACCCACCTGCAAACCGAATGCAGTACTGCCAATCATGTCGGTGGTGAAGTTCGCACAAAGATCCTTCACTTCGACTATTTTTCCGTCACCTTGAAGAAACATTTAATTTTATGGTATGACGTAGGTGCAGCAGATTAACCTCTTAGATACGCTATTGACTTTGCGGGTAGCATCTTTATGTACGACCAATTATAGTTTCGCGAATGTCATAGAGTACATAGCGCCACTATAGTGGCTCAATCAATTGTCTCACTCATTTATGGTTTCGATTGAATGATTGTTCTTATATAAAAGCACATTACATGTAAATAAAGGGTGACGCCAAGTTTAGACACTATGAGAGCACCTTTGCAGTAATAGATATTGGAAACATTAGAAATTACGTATTTTATGAATTTTCTTAAAAAGTAAATTATCAAAGGTAAAGTATATGTATCATATTTTAAGGAAAAATTATAATTCATTAATTGAAAACTTCATTCTCTCGCGTAGATAATAGCATTGTCACACATTATAATACTCTCCCCGTACAGAATAGCAGAGTAAATCTCAGCCGTGCCTAAGAGGTTAAAGAGATAGATAGAAGAAAAAAATATTTCTTTAAAATTAGAATAAAGAATTTGAATTTGTACGAGGTGTCTTCTGTCCCATTTATTCGCTCTTTTAGTAAAATTTAATTGTACAGAACCGTAGAAACAGTAAGAAACAATAAAACACAGTAATTAACCAAATTCAGATTCAATTTCTTTAACGTCATAAATAACACTGACCTTCCAAATTCATGTTGTTCAAACACGTCTCAAGGTCTTTAGCGATCAGCAACATGAGATCAAACATTTTCTTCAGCTTTCCCGTCGTGAAAATTGGCGTGAGTTTAGTTCTCAACGGCTTCCATGTAGGATTCTTTATCATGAAAAGATTCGCGTGTCCTAAACGATCGCGTTCAGCGTCCGCAGTAGCGTTTCTATCAGCGAATACATTGAAGTCCTTGACTAGAATATGTTTCAAAAGTTCAGGGTCACGAGCCAAAAAATATGGCTTGTTGAAGATGTAGAAGCCCATGTAAGGTAGTCCTTTGGATTTGTTGTACAAGTCCTGCAGATATTCGCAGGGTGCAATCTTTCCCAATAAGCAATCGGCAAAATTTCCAAATAGGAGGCTCCTAGGGATCTCCAGGACCCCGCGTTTCTCCCAATATTTTACATTTCGGGTTAGACGGTAATATATGTACGCCGAAATTGATGCGACGACTATGAGGAGGTCCAGAATCAAGCTCGCTGTTAGTAGAGCCATGTTGAACGAACCTGAAAAACAAATACACTTTGTATGTTTTAAGATTCAATCAAAACTATTGACACAAAATTGATTAAATTACAAGGAGGATTTTGTAGTGAACGAGTATGTTTCAAGTGCTTTAATAAAAAAAACAGAGAGATTGAAAAAATAACACTCTGTTTGAATAAAAAGAGTTCAACAGTCAAATATTTGATAGAATTTTTGGTTATTTACATTCCTTTCTAAGATGAAATTCGAGAGCTTTATCTACGGTACAAACTTATCAGTAGATAAACCGTGAGAGAATAGGAACAATAGAATTTAATTTATTTATGAAGGTCAATTGAGTTAATACTTGAACAGTAATTGAATCTTAGTGAAACAACAGTTTAATGTATTTTGAAAACAAGGACTTCAGCATTAGAGTCATAGTATCTAATCGTGGAAATATTTGAGTAGTCACAATTTAAAGCTCAATTTTATCAGAGCACAGAAACAATGTAATTTCGATTCAAGTGTCATTAAAAATGAACGAAGACTAAAAAAGGAAGAAAATACATTGTTGTGTTAAATTAAGAATGGTCACCATAAATAAAAAATGATAGCCAATTATTTAGATACTTAAAAATATTTCACTGGAGCATTCGATGTGAAAATAATAGATATAAAAAAAGTAAAAGATACTCTGGAATTGAAGAAAATTATAATTAATGATTTAATGCAAATTAGTATCAAGTATTAACTATGTATTAGTGTACACTATAAGTGAGGTCTAATGGAATGTCACCACAATTTACCGTAGTATCACAATTTATCAAACACGACCTTCACATTCCCACGATAGATGTTTCTTACGATATACTGTCGAGAGTTACAGTGTAATAAAATGTACTGTAGCGGCATATATATGTAGCGCACAGCTTCTCCCACCTCCTTAACACTAGGTTTACGAAGGTTTTATATCTACCTCTACGAACGCACGTCAATTTGACGCAAAAACAAATACATATATTTAAAGAAAAACAACCACTTAGAAAGCAATATATTAAAATTAAACATTACAAGTAAGAAATAAAAAATATGAGGTATATTTTTATAGAAAGTTTTTATTATTCAATAATATTTTCGTACATTACTTTAATATTGTACATTCATATTTTTACTTTCCCTCTACCCTGCGAACTGCGATTTTTACTGCGACTCCGAACCCGGTATATCGGCTGAGCCATCCGGTTGCGACTCCGAACTAGCGAAGTCCGTCATTTATAAGGTATTATCGATGCATTCATATTTATTATTTTTGTAATTTTTGCATGGGTAAAACTAATTTACTAAAAACTTTATTTACATTACGATCGCGGCAAATTGACGCACATCCGTAGAGATACCACACAGCAAATTTCGATATTTCAAAACTTTTGAAGAAAATAGACTTCAATATATATTTACCTCGGTCAATGGATAAAAGTCAGTACAAAAGATAAAATAAAAGTGCGAACGGTTTTTGTAATTTTCCTAAAAAGGTTTGAAATGCGTTAAAATGACGCGTCCCGTAAACCTAGTGTTAAGCATCTAGCATGTGCAAATTTATTTACATTGTAGAGAATGGCGCTATCGAAAGGTTCGTTGATCACGGTAATTTTTAATATTTTGCAGCCAATGAATCGTAAATTCAATGTATAAATCGACTTTATGTTTTAGAAATTAATGTGCTATCTATGTCGTTCAAAGAGCAGCCAAAGTAAATTATCTGCCTCGTTCACATTATATAAAAGGTAACATAACAATCAAATTTATAATATTTTCTTGGGAGTGCAATCGTTGAGTTATGAAAATAAGTGCTAATTCTAAAGTACAAGTAGATTATAATTTTGTTACAAGTGTGGCGAGTTGATAAAATGATGGAGTAAAACAATTTGTATTCAAAATCTGTTATCAACATTGAGGAAGAAATTCATCAAATTGCAAATATTCAAATTTGAAATAGTACAAATTTCCTATTTTTAAACATGAGTATAGTTATGAAAAAATATCAGATTTTCAATTTAACTTGCCAGCATTTTGCATTAAAATTCATCACAGAAGAATTGGAAAATTACCACTAAGACAGGCATTTTACATTATAATTTCTTTGTCTACATTATTGATTCGAATAATGCTTGAAACTGAAAATTCGTTGCCCAATTCAACATTATAAACTAAACATAACCTACAAGATTGCTGATGTAGTTAGGAGTTAGTTATTTTTATACTTCAACACACTCTTGTAGAAACACGATACGAAATTTATAAGCATGTTAATACACTTCATTTACTGTGATATCACTCAGGCTATCTGACAAATGAATACGTTATCTACTTTCCCTAATCGTTTTCTCTACAGTTACGTAAAACTTTTATCAGAAATTTTTCATAAAATTTAAAAATTTTATAACTAACACGCAGTAATTGTTTTATCATACAGCAATATCGTTAAGTAACGTTAAGTTACGAATACAATATGTTTTATGAAATGTCATAATAGTCTTCGATATCTGTTATGTGAAGAAGATATCGTTTTCTGTAATAGTTATTGTTTTCCTCCTCTTATCTATTTCACGTAGCTCAAAGATTTTATTTACTACCTTCAGTAGACGTATTTCTAATCATTTTAAACGCAATCTCACGAACTTACGTAGTCATTTTTCTAGCTGAGATGTAAAAAGGCAAAGATATCATTTGACGAAACAGTTATTTTCTTTCAGGTGTTACTCAAGTGCATAAGTTTTTCTGAGATAAAGCTACGAGGAGGAGAATTTAATGCGGAAAGTGTATTCTAGCAACGTGCCACGAGATTATAAAACAAGAAGTTAAATAACGAGATGACCTTATAATCGAATAAGATTTAATATCTGGGGTAAAGAGCACTAATGAGACATCAGACTAAATGACACAGCAAGAATTATGTTGTGCTTTTATTTTTATTTCTTTTCTCTGAAATGAGATATCAAAATTTTTATTATTATTTATATGGGACAAATCTTTGTTTTTTTAAATATCAGTATGTCTATTTTCTAACGTGCTCCGCTTATAAATTCAACATCTAACGTCTTAATTAACTTATCTTAATTGCTAAACTTGTTTGTTACTCTTGAAACGTGGAGGGTTTCATGAAACAGAAAATTGTCGTTAACTTTAGGAAGATGAACTGCAAACTTCTTAATTAGCACGTCGATTGCTCGTCTTAAACATTGCCGGAGACATGAAGCATTTGTGAGATTAACGATTTATCTAGAAAATATCTGAGGCATGCTACGAGTTCTAAATAACTTCATTCGACATTTCATTCAAATGGAAAGTATGGTACAATTTAATAAATTACACGGTGTGATACTTGAATGTGATAAACAGCAACTTTTGGTTGAAATGGTGGATTAATTTTTTAATTAATATATTTAGATGTTATCGGAAGAAATGTCGGTTCAACTTCTAGATTCACAAATTTCCTAATGTTTAAATTTTCAAATTTATAAATCTTCAAATTGTTGAATTTTAAAATTTACAAATTCCGTAGTTTTAATTGCTGAAATTTCTAAATTTCCAAAATCCCAAATTTCTCAATATCCAAATCTGCAGATTTCTCAATCTTCACATTCCTAAATTTTTCAATACCAATCCCCAAATTTTCAAATTTCCAAATTTCCAAACTTGAAAGTTTCCAAATTTGTAAAATTTGTAAAATTTCTAAAATTTCTGAGACTCCTAAAATTTCCAAAATTTACAAATTTGGTAATTTCAAATTTCCGAATTTCTAAATATACCAATATCCAAATCTCCTAATTTCTCAATCTCCAAATTCCCAAATTTTCCAATAACCAAATCCCCAAATTGAAAAATGTCCAAAAATCTATTTTCTCTATCAAATTAATATTAATACTATATTACTATTCCAACCGACATTAATATTATAGTCATATAATATTACTATTCCAAAATAGACAATTTAACACGCCAGACATTGCCGAGATCACCAGTGACTGATACCACAATTGATTAATTAACGCGCTAATTATCACAGCGGTCAGTGACGATTGACGCACTCTAATTCATTTTTCAAAAATTCTGACCAAAGTTTGAAGTTCATTATATTTCTATGATGACTCAAATTGTATGTTCTTCGTATTTCAGTTTACGTAATAATTGAGAAAGAAAAATTTCAATAAAGAGATTCAGTAAAGAATACTTAAATATTTCTTTTCTGTTAACTTTGTACACATTTTATGTACACTTAACGATAGCTGATAATGCATACTGAATTTATGAGTCAATATGGGTGCATATTGAGTCACATAAATTGAAATTCCGTTTTGGTTCAATAAGTGTGTAACAATCGCATTAGTTGAAAATTATAAAAACCAGTAGTGGAAATTTTTCTGCGATAAAGTACATTATTGGAAATGAGACTCACGTATTTGAGACTCGTAACCAGTTGAGTCATTGAAAAAAAAACGCATAAATATAAAGAAAACCATTTTTCCGCCTATAAAGAAACACCTACTTATTTTACTGAAAAATTAGTCGAAGAATGAAAGTATTTAAAATGTTCCATTTTATACATTTTGAAAATTAGTGTGACTAATATGAAAATTCCAATGATTCAATATGAAAAGAATTAATTAATCAGGAGGCACCATATGTAGACACATAATCATTTTCGTCATCAGTGTAACACGTCCTTAATTAAACCAAATTTCATTTAAGCCACTTCAATAATTAATTCAACCTGCTCTAATAATCAATAACCAAGTAATTACTTAACAACGGGTCGTGACAGAAGGACTTCAAAACGATCTCCATCTAATAAATTCGCGATAGAAATAATCGCATCGTCATTTATCGAACCCATTTTTCTTTCGAAACCTTCGTCTGAAATCTCGTGATTGAGATTCATGCTTATAAAGCATGACTCGTCGAAAATTGCTGTTCGTGATACATTTGGAAGTATAGATTTGTACAACAAGTTTGTGAGATAGGCATCCAGTTTCCAGTATAACCGCTTATTACACGTGGTAGTTGGGAAATCTAATCACGTATATATGTTTATAATCGCTCGGAACAAAATGTCGGTATTACGCGTTTTGCCTGATATGTCAGTCACGTGGGAAACGAACGTGATTGTAATATTGTAAACAATGACTTAGATAGTTGCAAGCACGATAATAAACTGGAAGATGCATCCAAGATGCAGTTAACCGAGGTTCGACGGAGAGCTGTAATCATTCACGATCGTTGGTTAAATTGATCCTGATCGACAATTTAACAATTTCGTTACCGAGGGTATTACAGTGCATCCGTGGAATGTTGGTTTCGAAACCTTTAAAATGTGACGAAATCTGCAAATAGTGGCGAACCATATTACACAGGGTGTTCGGTGGATATAATTTTAAAGGGTGGTAGCTGGGGTGATACTGAACAACTTTTTCCTTTACCAAAATGTTGACTGAAGCTTAGTTTCTGAATTATTAACGAAAAACACTGACCAATCTGAGCGCGAGAAAAGCGCGCGAAGACGCAAGATCGACGTTTCGAATTTGACGGCAAACAATTAAAAATAAGATCCGGTGAAATTGCAACCAATCTAAAATTTGCAAAATTAGTAAAAAATAAAATGCAAATATATACCAGTAAAATTAAATAAATATGTAAAATACAAAACTTCCATGTATTGAACGAAATTGACTATCACTTCCATACCGAGTTATTTTCCTTTTTCTAGGACATACAAAAACTGCTTGCGTGTTGAGTCCATGATCTCTGCATTTTTCCTGACCGAATGTCCGTTTTCCATCACGGAAACCAGTTCTCCAGAGATAATGATAGATCGACAGTAATTTCAATCCAGCGTGTAGTTACTTTGTACGGCGCACACTCGCGGCAGGTCACGAAATTCCCTACTTCGTTGCTCACGCGAATCAAACAGGTCCAGGCAGAATCGTTTTCGAAAGCCCGTTTCTTTTTCTGGTTCCAGCATCAATCGCAGTCATTTCCTTCTTTCTTTTCGTGCGATCACGATTTTTCTTCGCTCGCACGCTTGTCTCTGATTCTTCGGAGCTCTTGTTTCTTTGTGCGTGTTCTGGTAAAATCAACACGCGAAGGGCAACACGCTCCGAGTTTTACAAGTTTTCGGGATAATGAGTCAGGAAATTATGTACATTTTACTGATGGAACTGCACGAGTACGGTTAAAAGTAAATGTGGCCGCAGGAAATTACGGCAATGAAGAGAAAAACGTTTATCGCTCGTTGATCTTTAACCTCTTGTACTATGATTTATTTAACTGGTGCATCGTGGCTATAATATTAAAACGGACAAAGAAAGGTGAAATTATAATTAATAGTTGTATTGAAAGTTTAGGGCTTAAGGATCTAGAAATGTGGATATCTGTGGATATTTATTATCTTGGAAATTTTTAAATTTGATAAATGAAATATATGATATATTTTGTACGAAAACGTGAACAATAATCTATTGCAACATTGTTAAATTAAATAAGTTGGGATTTTAAGAATCATGCTTTTGCATGTTATTTCAAATTTACGCGCGCTTTCCATGGAAACGGTACCGCTGTTGCCATCTGACGATGAACGATGGTATGATGAAGACAGATTTGAAATCTCATGCTACAAAATATGTGCTGCATTCCTAATTGTGCAAAATGAATCGCTTTTATTATAACATCTTTAAAACGAAAAATTTATATCTGCTTGCTTAATCCATGCTCGATTAATGCTCGATTTCTGGAACTCTCCATAGTGCATTTAGCGAACATCTTCGTTTGAAAAAAAGAAATTACTGTAAGAATATACTGCATAATAAATGAAATTATAATTTAAACACAAATTGTAGCACTTTTATAGGTCATCTTCGTTTAGAGAATGATATATTACCAAAATTAGTTCCGATTGATGGTAAAATGTGATATATAAAACAATACTGCAAATCTACTTGTAGAACTTGTAATCACCTTGTAGAATGTGTTACAAAAGAAGTTATACTGTGAATGGCTCATTTTACATATTGTAATAACAATTTCTGATTGAAAAAGAAAATTTCAAATATCTTAAATTGAAGTTGTCTAATAGATACCGCTAGATGGCTTAGCATTCTATTATCCAATCAATTTGTTTTAATTTTACGTTCATCTCAATACCAAAAACAAACTATGAGACATTATTTGAGGTATGTTGTAATTATGGAACGATTTACACAAATTATTCAAGTTACATAAATATTTACAGAACAAAATAATTTTCTGCTGCGTTAATTTTATTGGACTTCGTCAGATGACGCTAGGTACGCTGTCTCAAAAGTTACCATTTTATACTAATTTTAGGGGAATATATAAGGGTTACTAAATGTTTATGAATTATTAAATTACTCACTATAAAACAGTGCCTTGTCTTTTTTACTACTAAACAAATTATATGAAACTGCAGTATTTTCGATCAAGAAAACAAATTTGTAGAATGGCTGTGCAATCGAAGAGACTATTTGATTATTCAGATTCGATTCAATTAGAGAGTTCAATTACGGCAATTTAGACTAATTCGAAGGCAAAACTAAATTAAGATAGTAACCCTTTCAGATTCACTATAATTACCTACTGTTATCTCAACTATTGCAATTTACGGTCAACTAAAATTTTATTAGTATTGTCGCACCAACCTTGCCTGGCAACTTGGAAAATAACACAAAAATTGAGGCGTTCAATAATATTAAATTCTATCATTTTATTCTTCGCTAATTCAAATGGATTTTTAAGTGCTTCATTTGCAGTGTCGTGATCAGCTCGGATAAAATTATAAAATTTCTATATAAAATAGTATATTTTATACATAATTACAAAAGTAGGACTTGTAATATATGTTTATTTAAATGTACTACACACATGTGTTCTTTATATTATATTCATACATACATATTCTTATAATATATCTACAATACTTCAGATGTTTGATATGCAGTTAAATTGTGTCAACATAGCTGGGTTAAAAATATAAATTTTCTATAGAAAATAGAATATAATGTTTCATACATAATTACGAATGTAGGACTTGTAATATGTATGTACTTATTTAAATGCACTACACACATGTATTGCTTATAATATATTTATACATTTGTACTCTCTATTAAGCAAACCGTATACTTCAAACGATAGAATATTTAAATACAAAAATTTCACCAAAAGTGTAAACTAAAAGTAACAGGATTTGTAATGAATAATTATTTGTTAGCCAACATGACACAATTCTTTCCTACATTTCAAACAAAGTATTCCAAAGCCTGTAATAAAAGAGAGTATAATAAGCGACTGCGTACGCGTATAATATTCTAATTAAAGGATGAAAATAAGGGCAAAATTATATTTTATGTAAGGTAAATCGTGCGTTACCAGCTTTGCGAACAGTTTCAGCAAGGTCGATCGCCGGCAGTATAGTTTTCGATGATAATTATACGCATCGGTCGCGCCTATTACACGCGCGCGCGTAATCGTTCCGGACGC